GACTGGGAGCTCAGGCTCGGACACATACACTGCAATGGCCCGCTTCTGTTCAATCAGAGACGGCAGCATGTAAAAACGTGCTATTCCAGAGAGTCTACACATCCTGTTGGAGTCTTTTAACCGGTTGACCTAGCTGGATCTGAATATCCTGTAGGCGAGAATATGCCAGGTGTGAATGTTTAAAGTGGCCAACTAGTCTGCGACCGACCCCCAACGCTGCGTTGTGATAATAGACCCTCTGAGATAGCCAGCTGCAGCGTTTGGGCCAAACAGGAAATACTTGGAAGTCCAGCAACATCCATGCCTTTGATCATATTTCTGGCATTGTCACAGACCACAACATGGACAGAACCTTTTGGAATTGCCCAAGTCTGAGGCATTTCCTCAAGTATACTAGCAATAGCTCAGCCTGTGTGAGAGCCTTGAAATGTTTTGGCATGGAGCAGAGTAAAATTGTCATCTATCCATTGGGCGGTTAAGCTGATGACCGACACAGGACTCCCACTACTGCCCCAAATGTCCGTAGTGAAGCTAATCGCCTTTACGTCCTGCTGCAACATGTTGGACTCACCATGTCATGTATCTTTGGTAAGACGACATCTGTAACATAGTGGCGACTAGGCAACTCATGCCTCGGCTCCAAAACATTACAAAGTCGCCGAAAACCCACGTTCTCAAGTATAGAAAGTGTATTAAATTAAAGTATTAAAAGGACTCGGTTTTGAACCTTCTCTTGATAATATTGCAGAACAAAGTTTGCAGTCTGCCATGCTTGGGTCGCTCTCATTGATTGTAAAATACTTCCACACTGCTGACATGTTGTCGGTGTTTTCGTGGCTCCAATATATCTCTCCACCTTGGGAAAGAAATACTTATATGAAATTATTAGTTATAGTTTATCTACAAAAAATCATAAAATATATAAATAAATGGTTTCAAATGGTTTTGATGGACCTGTGTCTTTATTCAACCTCAAATACTATGTAACTCAATAAACTATGATGACACTAATGTGAAGGATGTCCGGGCTGAGATTTGTAGTCCCTCTAAAGCTTGGAGTCAGTGGTGGTGTGCCAGGGCCACGGTAGTTCTGTCACTGACTCCAAGCTGTAGAGGGACTACAAATGTCAGCAATACATTGTACAGCAGTGCAGAAAACCACCAGCTATAGAGAACTACAGATACCATCAACGCAAAATACAACAATGCAGAACACCACCAGCAATAGAGAACTACAGATCCCATCAATACAACATATAACAATGCAGAACACCACCAGCAATGGGAAATGGCAACCGGCAACAGAGAACTACAGATCCCATCAATACAATATATAACAATGCAGAACACCACCAGCAATGGGAAATGGCAACCAGCAGTAGAGAACTACAGATCCCATCAATATATAACAATGCAGAACACCACCAACAATAGAGAACTACAGATACCATCAATACAATATACAACAATGCAGAACACCACCAGCAATGGGAAATGGCAACCGGCAATAGAGAACTACAAATCCCATCAATACAATATATAACAATGCAGAACACCACCAGCAATGGGAAATGGCAACCAGCAGTAGAGAACTACAGATCCCATCAATATATAACAATGCAGAACACCACCAACAATAGAGAACTACAGATACCATCAATACAATATACAACAATGCAGAACACCACCAGCAATGGGAAATGGCAACCGGCAATAGAGAACTACAAATCCCATCAATACAATATATAACAATGCAGAACACCACCAGCAATGGGAAATGGCAACCAGCAGTAGAGAACTACAGATCCCATCAATATATAACAATGCAGAACACCACCAGCAATGGGAAATGGCAACCAGCAATAGAGAACTACAGATCCCATCAATACAATATATAACAATGCAGAACACCACCAGCAATGGATGCGATTTGTAGTCCTCTACAGCTGGTTGCCATTCTCCATTGCTGCATGTATAATCTCTTACTGTGCCATACACCGAAAATAGAATAGGCAGCCGCAGTACATAATAAAAGTTTACCTGCTCTCAGGAGGGTATGGCTTGGGGGGTGCGAGCTCCAGAAGGGATGCAACTCTGTGAGGTTCAGTCAGGAGAAGTTGTCCACCCTGTTATATAAAATAAATGTAAAGTCACCTCCTGATCGGTGGTACAAAATGCCACAGAGCACTCAAAAAACTGACATCATACAATTAACAAAACTAGTATAGTACATCACTTTATTTAAACATAATGAAACTTACCAATCACCTGTTTGTGCGCAGAGTCGGTGCCAGGTCTTCTGCCGGCCTTCTGATAGTCGGTGCTGTGTGGGGAGTCGGTGCACGGTCTCTCTGGTGACCTTGTGGTAGTCAATAATAAAACAAAAGAGGGCACTGTGTAAGCGGGAAACTGCTAATATAGCACCAACAAATTGAAATGGTAAATCCGCCCCTGCGTAGGCAACTTTAGCACTAAAGCTGTAGTGAAACTACAAATCCAATCATGCATCTTCCTCTGGGATCATTAAACCTATTCATGTTAGCAGGGGAGAATTGTAAATCTATTGCTGCAGTGCACAGGAAGTGTGTACTCTATATGAAGTACATATAGTGTACACTGCATGAATAGATTTAAAATTCTGCCCTGCTAACATGAAGGGGTTAAATGATCCATAGTACCACTACATGTTATGTACTATTATGTACTATGGATCATGATTTAACCTATTCATGTTAGCAGGGGAGAATTGTAAATCTATTGCTGCAGTGCACGGGAAGTGTGTACTGTATACGTACTACATATAGAGTACACTGCAGCAATAGATTTACAATTGTCACAGGAGGATGATGAGTGTGGATGCATGTGCAAGAGGAGGATGTGTGCAGACACATGTGCACGAGGAGGATATGTGCAGACGCATGTGATGGCGGACGGTGAGTGTGAAGAACAGTAGAAAGGCATCATGGCACACTCACAAACCAGCATGTAAAACAACTTGTCTCACCACTAAGGACAATGACAGAGGTTTGGATACACGTCTTCTGCAAAGGATGTGTAAGCCGCACTGCCGCGCCAAGGCACCTCAGAGTCAGTGGTGGTGTGCCAGGGCCACGGTAGTTCTGTCACTGACTCCAAGCTGTAGAGGGACTACAAATGTCAGCAATACATTGTACAGCAGTGCAGAAAACCACCAGCTATAGAGAACTACAGATACCATCAACGCAAAATACAACAATGCAGAACACCACCAGCAATAGAGAACTACAGATCCCATCAATATATAACAATGCAGAACACCACCAGCAATAGAGAACTACAGATCCCATCAATACAATATATAACAATGCAGAACACCACCAGCAATGGATGCGATTTGTAGTCCTCTACAGCTGGTTGCCATTCTCCATTGCTGCATGTATAATCTCTTACTGTGCCATACACCGAAAATAGAATAGGCAGCCGCAGTACATAATAAAAGTTTACCTGCTCTCAGGAGGGTATGGCTTGGGGGGTGCGAGCTCCAGAAGGGATGCAACTCTGTGAGGTTCAGTCAGGAGAAGTTGTCCACCCTGTTATATAAAATAAATGTAAAGTCACCTCCTGATCGGTGGTACAAAATGCCACAGAGCACTCAAAAAACTGACATCATACAATTAACAAAACTAGTATAGTACATCACTTTATTTAAACATAATGAAACTTACCAATCACCTGTTTGTGCGCAGAGTCGGTGCCAGGTCTTCTGCCGGCCTTCTGATAGTCGGTGCTGTGTGGGGAGTCGGTGCACGGTCTCTCTGGTGACCTTGTGGTAGTCAATAATAAAACAAAAGAGGGCACTGTGTAAGCGGGAAACTGCTAATATAGCACCAACAAATTGAAATGGTAAATCCGCCCCTGCGTAGGCAACTTTAGCACTAAAGCTGTAGTGAAACTACAAATCCAATCATGCATCTTCCTCTGGGATCATTAAACCTATTCATGTTAGCAGGGGAGAATTGTAAATCTATTGCTGCAGTGCACAGGAAGTGTGTACTCTATATGAAGTACATATAGTGTACACTGCATGAATAGATTTAAAATTCTGCCCTGCTAACATGAAGGGGTTAAATGATCCATAGTACCACTACATGTTATGTACTATTATGTACTATGGATCATGATTTAACCTATTCATGTTAGCAGGGGAGAATTGTAAATCTATTGCTGCAGTGCACGGGAAGTGTGTACTGTATACGTACTACATATAGAGTACACTGCAGCAATAGATTTACAATTGTCACAGGAGGATGATGAGTGTGGATGCATGTGCAAGAGGAGGATGTGTGCAGACACATGTGCACGAGGAGGATATGTGCAGACGCATGTGATGGCGGACGGTGAGTGTGAAGAACAGTAGAAAGGCATCATGGCACACTCACAAACCAGCATGTAAAACAACTTGTCTCACCAAGTCATTGTCATTTATCATTGTCTCTGTCATTGTCCTTAGTGGTGAGACAAGTTGTTTTACATGCTGGTTTGTGAGTGTGCCATGATGCCTTTCTACTGTTCTACTGTTCAAAGCCCATTTCGTGTGCACCTTACTGTATAACTGGTAACAAATTGTTGAGTGCGTTTGTCGTTTGTTTTGCTTTACCGGGACGGTGAGTGTGGACGCATGTGGAGGAGGGTGAGTGCAGACGCATGTGCAGGAGGGGGATGTGTGCGGACGCATGTTCAGAAAGGGGATGTGTGCTGACATGTGCAGGAGGAGGATATGTGCAGACGCATGTGATGGCGGACGGTGAGTGGACGCATGTGGAGGAGGGTGAGTGCAGACGCATGTGCAGGAGGAGGCTGTGTGCGGACACATGTGCAGGAGGATGTGTGCAGACGCATGTGCAGGAGGATGTGTGCAGACGCATGTGCAGGAGGACGAGGGCATGTGCAGGAGGATGTGTGCAGACGCATGTGCAGGAGGATGTGTGCAGACGCATGTGCAGGAGGATGTGTGCAGACGCATGTGCAGGAGGATGTGTGCAGACGCATGTGCAGAAGGAGGATGTGTGCAGACGCATGTGCAGGAGGAGGATGTGTGCAGACGCATGTGCAAGAGGAGGATGTGTGCGGACGCATGTGCAAGAGGAGGATGTGTGCAGACGCATGTGCAGGAGGATGTGTGCAGACGCATGTGCAGGAGGACGATGTGTGCGGACACATGTGCAGAAGGACGATGTGTGCGGACACATGTGCAGGAGGACGATGTGTGCGGACGCATGTGCAGGAGGATGTGTGCGGACACCTGCGGGGAGAGGAGGAGACACACTGTAAGTGAACGCACACAGCCGGGAGCGTGCACGTCGGGCAGACTCCATGGGACAGGAAGAGACAGGAGTCTACGCTGGATCAGAGACAGGTGTTTTATCGAAAGTTCCAACTCCTCGAATTCTCCAACTGCCTGACTTCCGCTTTAGTTAGAAATAAGAGGTTTGGCCAAGAAAGTTCTTCTGCACGAGCGCCAGCCGCGGCATTTCCCTATATACATACAGCACAGCAATAAAGTATTAAAATGAACAAGGATCACAGTAATCCAGCACGTTATTTATCTCAGGTGCCTCAAGCGGCGGCCATATTGAATGGGGCACGTGAGATTAATAACGTGCTGGATTAGTGTGATCCTAGTTCATTTTATTACTTCATTGCTGTGCCGCAGCTGGCGCTCGTGCAGAAGAGCTTTCTTGGCCAAACCTCTTAGTTCTAACGAAAGCGGAAGTCAGGCAGTTGGAGAACTCAATAAGTTGGAACTTTCGATAGAACACCGGCACCAGCACTGGAGGGACTGCTGGATACAAGTGGAAGGAAGAAGATGATGGGATCCGGAGGTAGGGTTGCCACCTGTCCAGGATTCACCCGGACAGTCTGGGTTTTGAATGCTGTGTCCAGGTTTCATGGCTGCAGAAACCCGGACACGAGATGTCAGGCAGACAGGGGCAACCAGAATTAAGATAGGGGCTACTGCCCCCCCATTGAAAATGGTCTCAACTGTGATATTTACATATGAATGGGCGGCGCTATTTACATATTTGTAAGCCATGGCTCATTCTCCCCAAAAAATGTCTGCACGTCGCTAGAGTGTTCGGGTTTCGCTTGAAGAAAAGGTGGCAACCCTATCCGGAGGCGTCACTTAGGGGGAAGTCCTTACAACAGCATTGGGGGAATGTGAGACTCTGTAACATGTCCAGTTGTCAGTCTATAGTACAGAATACATTTATTGGCCTGGTTTGGTCACTTGCTTTGTTGTCAGTGTTCTCTTTCAGTGTTTCAGGGATCCAGTCAGTGCTCTCTGTACTACATAATACATCACATTGTTTGGATTTGTACAGACATCGCATCTTTTTGTTCTAAGTCCAACAACACAGACAGAAGCTGGTACATCCAAACACAAGCAAAGTAACCTGAGGACTACAGACTCACACCCCTCTATTATTGAGAATAGGAAGAGTTAGGTTCTGTAGTCCTGTCTTGTTTCTGTTGTCCTGCTACGGAAGGGTGAGTGCGTGTTGTCATCCTTGTTACTGGATCACCAGGTGATAATAAAGGAGAAGAAGCTTGATAAAAGAGAATGTTAGTTCTAGGCCCGGTTCACACTTCGGCGTCAGCGTTACAGCGCACTTTCATGCACGTTTTAGCGCATTGTCTTTAATAATTAAGTGCGTTTTTTAGCTGTGTGTTGGTGAGGCATCCAATGAGAAGCTGTTCCATCCGTGACATCATTCCCGTTCCTATTTTGGGGGTGTCAATGTCAGAGGGGAGAGGACTTGGTATTGGGGTCTGCTGGAATGTGTACACGTGGCGGCAGAGGTAGTTATCTCTGTACTAGTTCTACAGCAGAGAAGGGGGAGATTCTGGGTCCATCCGGTGATGGCAAACCAATAACAACATGGCCACTTCTGGGCCGTGTATAACAATCTCCGTGGCCATGAGGAGACATTGTTCCAGTAGACCCGCATGTCCCTGACAAGGGGAGTGCACATGCTGTCCTTTTTTGGCATTTGTCAGCTTGTACATGTGTCAGTGATTCCATCCTGAGTGACAATCATGGCCGTGTATCTAACGTGGAGCAGATAGATTCTGAAGCAGTTGTCAATAGCAACAATCTGGAAAACGAAGTGAAAGGGAAAAACTGATTGTTCACCACCGGCCACTGCTCCACATGCTGTCTGCTCCGCCCCCCATTGACCATCCTAGTTTGGATGAGCTCCTGGGGGTCCTGTCCAATCATCTTCAGTGTCAGGACACCTTTTACTGGGACAGTATTCCAGCGGTGGAAAGACTCCTCATCCCTTTGTGGGAAGTAGCTTTTCCTGGGATCCCATGACCCCGGGGCAATTTGTCAAAAGTCAGGATTACAGAATTGGGAGCAGTTGTCCGTGTCCAGGGCAGCCAATCAGCATTTCACTTCCATTTGGTAAGGTAGTCAATAGAAAGAAAGAAACTGATTGGTTCCCAAAGGCAACTGCTCCTGATTCTGGGAGCTCAGCTATGGAGATATAAAGATAACCAACAAAGGCCGGATTTCCTCGGAGGACCAGCCACACTTTGATGAAGAGTCTGATAAATGTGCCGGAATCAGCACTAAACAATGTCATAAATCTGGATATTGGGGGGATGTGAAACTTGAGTCATGATGCCGCATCGCCTCGTACGTTCCCATGGTGGAAGACCCAGGTAGAACAGTGATTGTGGAAGGGGTAGGTGACCGGCTATGAGAGGGGTGTGGATATGGTGATCCGGCATGGGGAGGCCAGTGTAGGGAGACCGATGAAAACGGCAACTTGAGTCATGATGCTGCATCTCCTCCTACGTTCCCATGGTGGAAGACCCAGTTAGAACAGTGATTGGAGAAGGGGTATGTGACTTGCTGATTTGGCTGTTCGCTTGCCGAGTGCCCCACAAGACACTATGCACCGCACAGTGCCTGGTAGCCCTGATTGGTTAAAGCCTTGTGCCTGACCACAGGTGCAAGACTTTGCCCAATCAGGGCACAGTACTCTGTAAGAGCCATGATTGAGCAAAGTCATGATGACTTTGCCCAATCATGGCTCACCTGTCAGATGCCGTGCAACTGTTAACAGTTGGGAGGAGCTAGCTGCCACCGCTAGTTCCGCCCAATTGTTTATATGTTTCCGTCATCTGCCAAATTGCCCTTCTGTGGTGGAAGTTTGTCGCGAGCGGATGGGGTTGGCGTTTGTCTTTTTAAATTATTTCTATTTATTTTTTCTTGTTTTATTTTTTATTTCGTCGAGGCATCGTCGCCGTGGACAACGCTGGACGTCGTGATTGATCCTGGATTACGTCGGTGGATTAAGTCTGGCTTTTTAAAAAAGATTTGTATTTAACCATTTTGTGAATGGCAGGGGTACAAGTACCCCTTACTCATTCACAAGGGGCGGGCCGCATCTGGGTGCCCCTTTATTAAAGGGCTACCCTGATGTGAATAAGCCCCCTGCCCGTACCCCCACAACCAACGCCCCAGGGCTTGTGGGGAAGAGGCCCTTGTCTCCATCGGCACGGGGACAAGGTGCTTTTCCAGGGGCCCATTACCGAGGACATGCGGCCTGGTATGGGAGGGAGGGGTGCGCTCGGTAAGATGACCAGTACAGACTAAAATGACTAAAGAAACCCCCAAAAATTAAGTTAATGTTTCATTAACCACTTAAAGACCAGGTGTTTCACCCCCTTCCTGGCCAGGCCATTTTTCAGTGTTCAGCGCTGCGGTATTTTGACTGATGTTTATTCAGTCATGTAACAACTGTACTGCAACAAATTTTATACCATTTTTGGGGGCAGATAGAGCTCTCTTTTGGTGATATTTAATCATCACCGGGGGGTTTTATTTTTTACTATACAACAGAAAAAGTACCCTAAATTTTGAAAAAAAAAAAAAAAAACCTGTTTCCCTATAAAATGTTATGAAACATTTATTATCACCTCAATTTTTTGGTAAAATATAAAAAGACGGGGTCACGTCGGGTGAATAGACACCAAACATGTCAAGCTTTAAAATTGTGCACGCCCGAAAAATTGCAGAAAATGACCACACCAAAAATCGGCCATAGGCGGCGCTTTAAAAGATTTTACCACTCATCAGTTTAGTGTTATCAGTAATTAATGGCCCTAAAATTGTTGCTCTCATTCCGACGGTTGCGGCGATATGTAACATGTGCGGCTTAATGGGCGCAATCGTCGTTTTCGCACATTGGCGCACTCGACGCATGTTTGCAAGTGTATGTGGGGGGGGCGAGGGACTTTAAAAACAATTTGTTATTTTATATATATTTTTTTATTTGCGACTTTTTTTAGCTTCTTTAGCAGGTCCTCTTTATGGAGAAATCTGGGGTCTCCAACACCGCTGATGTCACCTAGGGACCCCCAGAGAATCAGCTTCATCTGCTTCTCTCCGGCATCTGTAACCGGAGAGTGACACTGAATGTAGGAAGTGATGTAAATGCATTCGGGGACAGCAGAGGAGAGAAAAGGGAGATTGTGTACTGATCTCCCTTTGATCTCCAAAGACAGCGTCGCCGTGCTGGTCCCAGCCACACGGGCACAGCGCATCTCAGGACCGGCAGCGGCGACGCCATTGGAGGTACAGGGAGGGCCGCACATCCACAGCCAGTACAAGCAATCGGGCATCTCTAGAGACGCCTGATCACTTGCATGTAAACAGCTATCGATGGCTGTTTAAATGCTCACAAGGCCAGGAACGGGGTCTAAACACCTGGTCTTGAAGTGGTTAAGACCCCCTCCCGTTCCTGTAAGTCTCCTGTCCGGCTGTTCACAAACGGCCATGGACGGGAGGTGGTTAAAGAACCCCCTACAAATTGATCCAAATCAAAAATAAAAATATTTAGATTGATCCGACCCAAAAAGAAAAATTTGAATTAATCTGAATTCCAAACAACAAACTGAAATCGAATTTTGAATCCAAAATCTGAAAAAAAAAAATTTGAATCGATATGAAACAAAACACATTTGGAGCCTTTACATGTGTACTGCAGGCTTGTGACAAAGTCTATAGACACGGGGACAAGTCAGAGACAATTCTCCTCATGAAGACATTTAGGAATAAAACATAAACAAGGAGAATAATTCTGTCACTGTGTGTACTAGAGATCAGGGAGGTGACAGTTTACAAGACACTGCTGATGATGATTCTTATGGGAACCAAATTGGTAAATTCCCCCTATGTGAGGGGTAAAATGTCATCAATACATACAAATTTTCAGCTGAACCTG